CCCAGGAGGGGTGTTTATTAGAGGAGTCTGAACTCATCTTTGGCTGCAACTGGCTCTGTCTTGCTATCACGAGCCACATGTGGTTTCAAAGTGCCTCTGACAGCAGTCACCAGAACAATGTAATCCATAAGTTTACATTAAATATTTATATGATGCTACTTTGTGCTCTTCTTGGTTTAATTGGCCTTTGAAATTCATCAAAATCTATTAGCAAAGTTTGTTACTTAACATTGTTTGCATCATTTAGTTGTAACGCTCTGCTAAACAAACAGGTCTGTCTGTACAGGCCATCTTATGGAGCAAAAGGGCAAATCCTGCTTTGCCCATGGCAGGCTCACAAAGCAGGATCCCATTTTGGAGACGTGATCAAAACAGCAGGAATAGAGTTCTTTCAGAAATTCCATATGTAAGAGAGCAAAAGAAATTTCCAAAAAGGAGAAAGGTTTTTCTGGCAGACTAAAGGATTTTCTTTTTTTTTTTTTTTACCCCCAGGAAATTCATGATATTTCAAATGAAATAAAGAATTAAAAACAAAACAAAACAAAACAGAACTGTAGTACAATTCCCAGTTAAAACAGAAGGAAAGTCTTGGAAGTTAAGACTTTGCAACACGGTCAGAACTTGTGCTTGTTGGTTGGAGTCTAAATGAAAAACAGCACACTTTGGCAACTCCAAAACATTTTGCAGATTTATGGTTTCAATAAAAACACTGTTGTATAAGACAGAAGGCTTCAATTTCAATCTAGAGTAATTTCATTGTCTCCAGTGGACACAGACATCACCAGGAACAGAGGGCAGACCGCTGTCTCCCACAGTTGGTACATTTACAACTGAGAAATTCATCAGGCAGAGAGGCAGGAACACACTCTCAGACTGGAGAACCTGCAGGAAAGAGAAGAAAAGGGCACCAATATGGGTAGAGCCCATTGGAAACATGGAGACAGATGTCCCCAGAAACATCTGGTGCCACAGGTGTGCAATGGAGCATTGAGTTCCTCTAGTTTTTAATTTCTACACTGCAGAATTCTTGGGTGGACATATTGCATTTCATGATTTAAGCTGTCCAGACATGAAGGGATTATGTCATTTCAGGATTACTGAAATGACAGTTGTAGAACTGCACCAAAACCACACTAAATCAAGCAAAAAGAACACAGCCCTTTTTGCAGTAACAAGGGCAGTGAGAGATTAGTTGAGTTTTCCCTGTTGATTGCAGGGGAGTTGAACGAGATGACCTCTGAGGGTCCCTTCCCTCAAACAATTCTACCACTCTATGAACTTGCTATATAAATCTGGTACACACCATCCAAAGCCACAGCAAGACAAGGACTTACTCAGTTACAGCTGCTTTCCAGCAAGAGAGAATTAGCAGAAATGGAACAGCCAGACTGAACAGCCAGGAAACATTGCTAGGACATTGCTTGGAGAGCCAGGAGCCAGAGCTTGGACTAGAAGTTGGCTTGCAAGAGGCTAGGACTGCCGAGAAGAGAAACAGCTCTTCCCCATACAAATGTGAAGAAAACAGACCTTTAAATCTTTTACCCCAGTGAACACTCCCAGCCTCTGTTTCTCCAAAGGGAGGCAGCAAGCTGGGAAAGAAAACAAGTCAGATGGAAGAAAATCCAAAATTCAGAGCTAGTTATATGCAGACTATCTAGTTAAAGGAAGTTTGATAGTGTCCTTTGTCTCTTTTGCACAACGCAGCATTGTGCACTGGCAGATCTATTTCATCATCTGTAACAGAAGATGAAGATGTGGTCTTACCTTTATTGCTTTAATTAATATTGGTTTTTGCGGGCTTTTTTACTGATTTTTATCTTGTTCCTCACATTTGATGAGGCTTATTTTTGGGGTTCCCATTATAGAGGTCCATCTCAGCCATACCAACATCCAGATGTTTTCCTGATGGAGCTCTCAGTAGGTTGAAGTAAATCCCTGTCACTCTCAATTTACATATTCCTGTAATCACACACATTTAGAGAGGGTGAATACTAAAGCAGGAAGTTAAAATGTTGGGAAGGTTTTGTGCAAAATCTTCTTAGATGTCATTACAATGTTTATGTATTGAGGGTAGGTTTTCCCAGAGGGCTCTCTTACATGTAACACTGGGTGTGGACCACAGCAGAACCTAGTCCATTAATTGCTTTCAGATCCTTTTAGCATTACCATATTTATAAATTAACAGCAAAATAAGAAAAGGATTAACTCAGAATGAAAAGAGCAATACCAAGGCATACAGTCACCAGTTACTACATTGGAGCAGAGGAAAAAAATTCAGAGTAACCAAGTGCCATCTGGTGGATCAACAGGCACCAAGCAGGAGGCACGGACACGTGGGAGTCAGGGGTTGGTCAGGCACAGGAAGGATTTGTATGCTGTAGGCATCGTTACTGGCGATAAAAGAAATCATTTTGTTGGTATCAGACATGCACTCCCTTTAAATGACTACAAACACCACTGCCAAGATTTACAGCCACCCTGTTACCATGACTCAAACAAGAAGTCCATAAAACTTTAACCACCCGGCTCTTGCATCACAGCCATAAATCCTGACTGTGTTTTTATCTCAGACAACACAGACTGGGCACAGAATGCAAAACTGTGCAGAAACCACTGCTGTACAACGGGGAGCCAGCATTGCAGTCTGGGGCTGCAGGAGCAATCTGTCAGTGCAAGGGAAAGTTCTCCACCGAATCAAATTCTTCCTGCTGCACTGCTCTCCCACAAGCTGTCATTGCACAAGGGGTCCTTCTGCTCCTCCCTCTACATCATTTTATAAACCCCGTAATAAAGTGCTCAGTGCAGGGGCAGCACCACAGCCCTGCTGCCCCAACGACACACTCCCTCTTGCTGACAAAGCTGCTGGTTCTGTTGAGTGTTGCTGTTGTCTGAGTGTAGAGAGGTAGGATTCAATCCTTTTTTTTTTTTTCCAGTAGAGCTTTAAAAAAGAACTTGTTGAGGTATGAGGATACAGTCTCAGCTGGTTCCCAGCCCATTCCCACACATACACCTCACACTTAACACATCAGCTCTGTGCTCTCCCCTCCCTGTGGGGCAGCTCCGGCTGCTCTGTGTGTCACAGGTACACCACTGACCAATTCTGCCTGATCGCCCCATTCCCAGAGCCCTTCCTTCACGACATGGATTGGAGATGTTCTTAAAACCACAGTTATTCGAACCTGCAAGATAGAAACGAGATATATAATTTACAACTTGGGGAAAGTGTCCATTTAGATTAATGTGAGGCTGAAAATAGTGCTTCTCTCCAATTCACTGGATGCCTACTATAACATTCAGTCCAGTTTAATGGAATGATATTCCAGTTACATGAAGAAATGTATATCTGTCACTCACTTTCTACTCCATTTATCTGCAATGGAGATGATTACTTTAAAAATATCTGCCTTCAGTAGACTTGCACACTTGGCTAACTTTTGAGATATGTTGTGATGACAAAAACACAAGGCCATCAGCTTTGAAAGAGAAATAACAGTGACCTATCTACCAATACAGATAGATCAGACTGGGAAAGGATCCAAATGCAGACAGGCTGCCCAGGGAGGTGGAGGGATCACCATCCCTGGAGGTGTGCAAGAACTGTGGAGATGTGGCACTGAGGGACATGGTTAGTGGGCATGTCAGGAGCAGGTTGATGTTTGAACTAGATTAGCTTAGTGGTCTTTTACAACCTTAATAATTCTATGATTCTACAGAAGGTCTTCCAAACCAGCTAAGTGCATCCTCCTATTTCTTTCTCCAGAGATCAGTTCAGTCTGAGAAGTGAGTCAGCTTAATGCCCCCAGGTAGATGAGAAGAGAGCTGAAATGCTCCACAAGAACCTGATAGCTCCTACATGAAGGTATGGGCAGGTTGCTTCAACCCCTCCCATGGCCAAGGGCAGCATCACTGAATTCACAGCATGTGGCTACCCCTGCCAAGACCACATTTACTCTTCCTGCCTGCTACTGCACACAGAACTTTTTAGCTGTGCCTCACTGAGGGAATGATACCCTCAGATCCGTACTGGTGGAGCCAACAGTAGGTACTCTTCCATCAGCTGGTGAACCAAGCATACCTATAAATACATATATATCTATATATAAATACAAATATTTATATGTATATAATGTGTGTGCATCTCAGAGAGCTTTTCCTTCAAAGGTTGGCCAAGGTGTCCCTCTCCTCATTACCGCTCTGCCTCCTTCTTGGGTCAGGAGAGGAAAGACACAGGGATGGATGTGTCTCACAAGCTGATGTTATTTTACTAAGGTAGCACTTCTGGAAAATAACTGCAGTAAATTAGCACTTTGATGGCTGTATGCCAGCAGTGCTCATAGGGCCCCAGGAAAGCTGAGCTCTGCCCCAGCCCAGCTCTCCCCTTTCCTGTTCAGTCTGGACGGTCTCTTAATGGGATTTTCAGACACGGCTGTGAGGGCAATTACCCAATCCAAACTGCACCGTTTGCTCCCCAACTGCAGAAGAGCATTAACATCTGAAACCTGTTGATCGCCATGCTGGAGGAGAGTAATTTTCACAGGTATGATTAAAAGTCACATTGCAGGAGGAAATGAGACCACAAAGGAAGACATCCCCATGTGAGGTTTACTGGCAGTGTAGCACATATGTATTGTTATAGGAAAGTGAGAGCAGGGCTCCTTCTGGCCCACCCTTAGCAGGAGCTTTGCACCATTTCCAGGGCCCAACTGGTAAGGAAGGAGAAACATCTCACTGGATTTCAAAACTTGATTGGAGGCTGCCACCTACTAGCATAGAGCTGAAATGACCAACATGGTGCAGTGTTTCAAGAAAGAAAAATTGTAACAGAAAGAGGAAGAAAGGTAGAAGAATGGAACCTGTAGGAGGGTTGAAAATGAAAAAGATTTTTGTCTTCTTCTGGCTGTGATGATGAGGCAGGTCATGCTGCCTTGCAGGGTTCAATTTTCCCTGTCAAGATCAATAGCTCCCAGCACATCATTCACACTCAGTTGCTTATCTAGTTAATTATTTTTTCTTTCCACTTATGCAGTGCCCACAAGAACATAATGGTTCCCTAGAATAAGTCATCCAAAATGGTTTGATGCTCTGGGAGAAGTACCTGCACTCAGCAGCTGTGTCACTGAAGCTTTCTCTCCTGCTGCAGTGAGCCATGAGGTGTTTCTCATTCCAAAACCATGGAGAAGGAAACAGAAAGATTTTATTGGTGTGACAGGCAACCTCGGATCTCAACAACCACTGAGTACATTTGAACAGATTCTCTGCAAAATCAAGGAAGAGTTCCTAAAAGTCCAGAAGTAGAAATGCCACATCAACCGCTTCAAAGCTGTTGACTTTCCTTGAGTCCAGAATTGGTGACCAACTTTCTCCAGCACAGTTGGGATATTTGGAAGCCAGCTAACGCCATCACAGCTGTCCCATAGGATTGCTTGAATGTGAACAGTCCCCAAGGCTCACCACACTATCAAAGAAACAGAAATCAGTGCCCATTTCAGGATTTTGGAGACTTTCTGCAGGGAGGGATGCAGCTTTGTCCCACTTTTGTTGTCCAGAAAGGCTGAAGGACAATCAACCCATAAATTAAACAACGCATTAGTCAATAGAGCCAACCCTCCTGTATTCTCCCTGCCACCAAAAAGCCAAATGTTCCTGCTTCCCTTGGCACCAGTAACCCACATCCATAGAAAGACAGAAAGAAAATGTCACCAGGTGTTCGTAACTTTTTTCCTGTCCTCTGCCAAGCTGCTGGAAGTTGTTTAAAATTTGTATTGCAGTTAAAAACAAAGGAGGGTATGAGGAAATTCCCAAAGTTTTCTTTTCATTCTGGATGTGATTCCCTGCTGATAGATGCAGTTCCTTACCATACATCCTAATGGCCCCCTTAAGGAGGACTCTCTTTCAGTAGAAGTACAGGGCCAAGTGTTATCTCCTTTCATCGTTTTCAGGATCCAAATGCAAGCTTTTCTGTACAAAGGCAATCTGGGTCCACCCAGAAAGGAAAAATCAGCAAAAAGCTCCAAAGCCTGAGCTCCCTGAGCAGAGAACCACCTTACCTCTCACTATGGCCATCTGGGAAGAAAATCTCTTGTAAACAGGAGTTGTTTTAGCACTTAGTGCTCTTTTTCTCTGCCTCTTTCTCTTTTTCTCCACTGCTATACATTATACACACAGAAAGAGAGTAGGAGCCAGGTATCATGAATCTTCAATCTTTATATCTTCCTGGAACAACTAGTTGACAGCTGCTAAGCTACTGGCAAACTGTCTGCCTTAAGTATTTTTCCCCTTTCCTTTGGCACCATGCCCCTGGCTGGGTTTCAGCTACACTTTGCAGAAACCATTCAGGACAATAACTACACACTGCCTCGTAAAGTAAGCAGCGGAGTACATTCCCCCTCCAATCACGCCTGCAGCTCATTAACACCAACGTGACCTACACACATTTGCATGGATGGGGGAAATTAGCTCTGCTCCGGATCAGATGACTTACCTGCCCTTGCTGCAGCACCCAGTGCACCCACACAGCAGTGGAAAACCCAGTTTACTCAGACTAATAGCAGGAAATAGAAAGGGACTACGCGAAGTCAAGGCAGGAATGTCAGGATCGGTGTGCGCTTCTCTATTACCTGCATTTCATTCTACCGTTTCGTGCTCGAACTTCCCTCTCTTTTTACTCAGTTCGCACAGGGTTCAATGGCAGCACAAGGGCAGCAGTGCCCACTGCAGCAACTTGGCTCTTAACGAACCTCTGATTCCCCTTCCTCCTATGCCACCTTCCTCTGCCGCTTGGTACTGCAAGCTCTGCAAAACAGCACAGCGATTTTACAAAGGGGCGAAGGGGGGCGGCAGGAATAACGCTAAAAAGCCCGATTCTCATCGTCCAGCACTGCCTGCACTCCCTTAGCGAAAGGCTTTTGCTCTGTGGATGCTCTGTGGTCCCTTCGCCTCCACGGAGCCGATTTCATGCAGGATGCATCGGGTTTCACTGCAGACCTCACTTGTGAGGCAAAGTTGGCAGAGGATCACAGAATAGCTTGGGTTGGAAGGGACCACAATGTTCATCAAGGATGAGGTGGTGCCTGTCCTTGCAACTTTTAGCAGCCTGTACCATCTGCCCATGGAGGGCACCAGGTTTGCATGGCATTTCCATGGCCAGGAAAAAAAATGATGCGTAATTATTGTGGCTGCATGCATGAAGTGACAGGGAGCCCGCAAGCATGAGTGAGGATCATTGAGATAACAGACAAACCAGCAGGATGCCTACAGCCCATAAAGCAGCTACCAAAAGGCTTATGTGACACACCTGTGGTATTGCACAAGGAGGTTGTGGAGACCACAAAATGCCTATATATAGAATTTAAAGATGTACAGAGGGAGCTGAACATGTGATATTGCTAATAACTGGCTCACTAGTGTGTGTGTAGCATATGGATAGAATAATTAACCAATTAAAAAGTGCATGGAAGACAAGGGACAGAAGATGCTAACCAACAGGAGAAGCAATAACTGCAGAACAGAGGACTGATGGAATGTACTTACACAGAGTGTGAGGTTTGGGTTCTCTGTAGTTGGGACAGCATTGGAAGCCACTGCTGCTGATGGCCTTATGTTGTGTGATGTGCACAAACACAGGAGCTGAACTGATTGTGGGCAGAGTAAGGGCAAGACAGCATGGTCTGGAAGGAGGAATTGACCTGAAACATGCTTTTAAGTCTTAACACACTAAATCCATCCACTGTCATCTGCTGCAATAACTCAGTGTATTGGACCTGTGGATTTTCTCTTCCAGTTTTATCGATGTTGAAAAATTTCTCGTTAGCCACTAGTGGTCGTTGTTGTCCTGTGCAGCAACAACTCCTGGAGTTGGCACAGGGAGAGAACACTGACAAATCATTTCCACACGCTTATTTCACCAGGTACAAACCACAGCCAAAATTTGAAAGTCAAGCACAAAACGGTGGATCTGTTCATTCATTAGGAGATGAGCAGGCACTACACTTACCTCTCCTTGTAAATTATATTCAGCGTCAAGGAAAACACAACAGTTTGACAACAATTAAGTACTGCAGTGAATTGGAAACACTGCAGCAAGCCAAGCAGATGCTGCTTTGTTTACAGACTTCATGTAAACACCGATTTTGATGCAGTTCCTTTCATCCTGGGCGCACGTTTGTCCCTCAACCTAACGACAGGCAATTGCAAAATCACAGGAAAATATAATGCCCCGTTTTGTGGAAGCTGTGTGTGTTTGCTGAGCACTGATACAAAGCGAGCACTCAAATAAAGCAGATGCAGTTCCCCTAACATCTCCCAAACCAACTCTCTGCAATACCTAGAGTTAAAAATTTAGGCCCAGGCTGACAAAAGGGCACCACAGGCTTTTAAGAGCTCAGCTTCGAGGCATCCAGCTGGTGGAGCAGAATTCACAAATATGAGCGGAGCACTGGGATGAGGGGGTTGCAAAGCATATTTCAGGGCTGCACGGAGTTACCCTGGCTACTCTGGGTGAGCTGGGCCAGGCAGTGGAAACCGTACAGCCACAGCCCTTGTCTGGATGCCACAAGGTACACAAAAGGTGACCACGCTGTCATTAGTAAGTGGGATGGTATATACCTAACCAGTGAAAAGCTCAGCACATGTGCACTCTGAGCTGCTCTGACCATCAGGTGCAATTTTTGTGGGGCTGCGACACAGCATTATGTGGTTAAACTCTGTCTTGAGGGGGTTTTCAGACCCTTGTGAAGTTGGAGGCTTAGATCTTCCTTCATTCATTACCTGTGCAACCTGAGGTAGGGAGTCTACTTTGGCAGGGGGGTTGGACTCAATGATCTCTGGAGGTCCCTTCCAACCCCTACAGTTCTGTGATTCTGTGATTCATTTGTAAGATCTGTATTGGTTTATGAAGAACGGAATAGATCTTTATAAACTCATTTTTCTTCATAAATCAATGTGGATCTTGCAAATGAAAGAAGATCTAAACCTAAAAACCCATCCAAGACAGAGTTAAACCACATTCCTGCCCCAAGCCTTATTCTCTCTCCCTTAAGCTGATTCACTCCACAGCCCAACCCCTCCATCTCCAGACAGCCACATCCAACTGCAGTGTGCCCAGGTGGGACAGAGCCACCTGAAAGGGTCAACTTCCTGCACTCCAACCAAATTACAGATCCCAGACACTTTACATCTGCCTTTCTGCACTTAAAACACACTGCTGTTTCTAATCTACCTCAGAAGAGGTCTAGCTTTGAAAAAAAATGCAACACTCTCATTAGGCTAAATGCAACTTCTGCATTTTTTGCATTTTTGCATTTTTTTCCCTAGTTCCACATTTCTAACAGTGTTATCAAAACTATTCTATAGGATTAATCCCAATGGCTAGAAGTAAAACAGCTCTAATTGAGCCATTTTCCAAGAGAAAGGGTTAATAAGAAATGAAAATAAAAGTCAGGGGAAAAGATGAAGAGTAACTTCTTTCACTTGTTCCATTTTTCCTGCATTTTACAAATTATAAATTGAATCACTGTAAAAACCTCATCTGTTGATAAAATGTCATATTACCATTTCTCCCCAATTACAATCACTAATCAACACTGCAACGATGCCATCCTGTTTGCTCTCTTTCTATAGGTTCAAAAGAAAATTTCTGAACCTGGGAATGCATCACTTAATTTCAAAGCTCCTTCAGAATGATAAAGATTTTAATTACGTACATATATAGCTACACGTGTGCATAAATATACACATGGATATATTATATTCTCTTACACAATTTCCCTTCACATGGGCAGGAGTTTCAGATGTAACCCATGAAGTGAGCTCCATCTCTTCTCTAGGGAAGGAAAGCAGGGGTTTTCTTTGAGACCAGCATGACGTCCTGCCACCCACCTCAAACATGCAACAGCCCTTGTGCATCTCGCCCATCCCTTTGGTTAAGCAGCACATGACACACATCACCCATGGTTGCACAGCGAGCAGGATGAACTGACTGAGGCAATCCGATGGGCAAAGGACTTAAAACGGTCTCACACTACCTCGAGCAATGTGGGAAAAGAAGGTTGCTAAAAACCTGATCCAAGATGTGATCTACATTTTGCTGCTGTCATTAGGAGCTTCTCCATTGACTTTGCCGTGCTTTGAATTAAGCATCAAGCTTACACAATGAGAAGTGGAAGAAGAAACCCTGGTTTTGAAGAAACCCATATGGCATCCTGCCTGTGAGCCTCCTGCAAGCCTCTCGAAACATGTGCTATCACTACACAGACAGCAGAAGGGAGACAATATGCACCCACATCCCAAATGCCTTCCCCATTCTGGTACAGGAAATCATTCAGAGGCAGCTATTTCCTTAAAAAAAATCAAAAGTTTGTAACCTTCTTCTATGAAATTTGGTGAAGAAATGTACTCTGTCCCCCACACAGCCCTGTGGCAGATCAAATCAAAGGGGCTCACACCACCCGTGCAGCAGGACGTGCTCTGGATGCACTCTGCACGTTTAGTTGCAGGCTGTCCCAAAGGCTGCGTGTGCACTCATTAAGAAAAGGTGGGGGAAAAAAAAGCCTGCTAAAAAAAATTCATTTACTTTAAATCCAGCTCCATGTAATTCCATTTTAGTGCAATCTATATTCAGGCAAGCATTTAAATATTCTATTAAAACGGATCCGTCCTCAAATAATGTGAATCCAGGGAAGTAATAGCTAACATCTCAGTGCTAAGCCTCCATCAGAGTCACTACGGTGCCGTGGTACCCCCTTCATTTCTCTCCAATTCTGGCACCTGTAACCATGGCAACATACACTGAAACCTCTCAAGCAGAACAGAACTGACAATCACAATAACAGCACAAAATACCTGAGGTTGGGGGGGAGAAAAAAAAGAAGAAAAAAAAAAGGAGAGGAGAGGCACAAGCAGGTAGTTGGTGAAATTAAAAGCTGATGACACGAAAACAGCTGGAAACAAATGCTGGCACACATGGCCATGTTCTGCAGGGAGAGGGATTTGTGCAACCTGGCCTGCTCTCTCTTATTAGCTATAGAAAGAGAGGTAAAATAAATATTTTTGTAACAAAGAGTAGAAGTGTGAACTTGAAAAAGTTGTTGCAAATAGAAAGCAACTGTATTTCCGCTGCCTGAAGTCCAGCAGTGCTCAGGGTTAGCCCATGGAAAAGCACTGTTTTATCCAAATAAAATGTGCCTCGGAGAAACACCATCCAGCAAGAAAGAAAGAGAAGTCACCTTTTAAAGTGAGTCTAAAAGAATAATTCCATTAGCCTACATCAAAGAAAAGGTTTGAAATGAGCGCGAGTTAATAAACCATATATGTGTAAACTGGGATAACTTCCTAGACATTTAAGGGATCTAATTAGCATTTGAATGCTGTGAGGCAAGAAAGGGAAATGCTATCTTTAAACTGTAACAATCCAAAGCAGAAATGAGATTGACCTGCGTGGGAGAGCCTGGCAGGACGAGGTGCAAGGTTGGCTTAGAAGGCTGATGGGGCTGGGGTTGGAAAATGACAAAGCCCAAGGCCTTCATGAGACCTAAGAGGAAACCTTGTAGGTTTTATTTGTTAACCCACAGTGATGAATTTAGGGAACAGAATTACAGAACAAGAGAGGGGCTTACATCAGCATCCCCACTGCACCCCACTCACCTCACAAGAGTTGGGCATCGAAACCTCAGCAAAGCCATTGGGAGAGTCAGCAAGCAAGGCTCTCTGGGGAAAAAGAAAAGAAAGGTAAGGAGAATGGTATGAGACAAAAGCAAACAAGATGCTAAATGAGACAGCTGAGGGAAAGTAGCGGTGCATCTGGGGATTTTCCTGCTAAGGAGCTGTAACACCAAAGAAACCAACAGCAGCTATTGCTTTGAGACTGCCTAGCAGTTAGTTGCCTAAAGAGCTTCATAGGCTCTCAATAGTTGTGTATTACATTTAGGCTGCTACAACCCAGGCCATTTCCTGCTAGAAGGCAGGCTTCCAGGAGCCAGTTCTCTTCCCTCTATGGCTTCGTGCAGGAGGACAGAGAGCCGTGGTGGCCCTGGGATGTCACTGCTCCATCCTCAGGGTGATGATGGCAGAGGGTTCACATTGTCCTTCTGCTTCAGGCATTCCTTTTTCCCTGCTCTTTTACTGATTCAAACCTCGGCGTGCAACAGACTGGCGCAGGATTCAATGGAAGCAGAGGAAGATTTGGACTTGAAATAGAGAACACTGAAAACAGAGAAGAGCTGAGATGTGAGCGAGCATTAATGTTCTGAGAAAAGGGTCAGTCTCTTCTTTCTCACTGACTTCTCGGGGGAAAAATGTAACTGTTGAGCCACAGTGCATGAAAAAGCTGTCATTCACTGTCATGTAGGAAGCACCTTACACTCCTTCCTCTGGGGAATTTCCTCAGTCAGTGGATTGTGTAAGAGAGAATATTTTTCCTCAACAATTGTGTCTCATTGACTCCAATTTTCTTCTTTGTCATTCATAAGAGTCCTTATGCTGACCTTCAAGAATGTTTTGAGCTTTCCAACCGATTTCTCTAATGCCTCCAGGTTAATATGGGTTCAGTGGTAGCAGAGTTTAACAGCAGGTTTGCAAATAGCAGGCATTCAAAAGCACGGGAAGAGAAAGGGAAAAGCAGAGAAGAGCAAACCATGGGGCAAAGCCATCCCTACAGCTTTGCCAGATGTGGGAGCTCACAATGGACCACTGAGTTCCATCTGTGTGTCCTCACGCTGCACATCTGTACCCACACCTCATTCAATTCTCTGCTAACCAGAGCAAACTAATATCTCACTAAAGAAGACCTTTTTACTTCATTCTGATTTATAGAAAGATAGCCATTAATTTCTAGATTGCTAGGAACTACCACAGTGAAAGCATTTGCACCCAGCATCCCTGCACTTCTGCATTCACTTTCACCAAAAAGCAAAAGTGTGAAAACCTTAATGACTCCAAATTTAAAGCTTTTATTTCACTTGGCACCCTTACAGCTAATTTATTATCATACAGGTTGAAATTGCAGGTTTGACTGCTATCATGAATACGTTATTATCCTGGACTTCAGTCATTCTAATCTGGAATTTGCTAATAAAACATTTCTCATCTGAAAGCGTTGCCATCATTAATATGGTTGGGATTGTCTTACTCACACCAGCGTGCACTCCTCCATATAACTACAGCAGTCACAGAGGTTGTTCTCACCTATGCAGTTTTGCTCAGCATGGTAAATATACCTGGATTCCTTCTACCCCAAAACATATGCACATGGTGGATCAGGATGTGGCAATGGAAGAGCACTGTGACAACGTTACTTCAAATCTTTGACATCCTGAAAATCTTCTATTCTGGGATAAATCATAGGCAAGCAAGTACAACTGTTATCTGGCCTGTTGCTGCTGTAGGACTGGTATAAAGGGCAGGATTAGGGCTTTACAACTGTCCAGCTGTTACCTATCTACCAGTGGAAAAAGTATATATATTAATTATTATATTTTAAACTCATGCTTTATGATTTCAGAATTAAGGCTGAATCCTATTAGGGAGACAAAAGGCTCCTTGTCGTTCGTACAAGTCTAATAGTGCGATAGATAGAGAGGCTATTATATTTGGCACAATATTTAGAGAAATTAATCCTCAAGCGCAAAAGATTTGTGGGATTAACGGGCTGAGTGACAGCTGAGCTCATCCAGCCTACATCCCTGGATTGTGCAACAAAACCGTTTGCCTTCAAGTTGAGTGTGTTCCTCACTCCTGCCTGAGTCAGCATGGCTCCTGCCCATATTGCTCTCGGGTCCTCCAGGGAGATCAACAACCTAATAAATAAATCCTCATTTCATGGCAGTTTGCAAAACTGTCATGCTGTGCTCATTCCTGAGTTTTTGCATGTCCAGTCTTCCCTCTGTAAAAAAAGATCTACCCTGTGTGTAACGGCTATTAAAACATTCAAAATTTGATTGAAAGTCATTGGAGCTCCACTCTCCAATGGAGTCATACATTTTCTATGAGAAATGATGTGTAGGCATCACACAGACAAGCATGTCCACTAAGTACCACCCAGCCCCTCCAAGCACTGCCTGAAGACCACCTAACCAGCACAAGATCCTACCTGCTGTGTTATCCTTTCACACAGCAGAAACACAACTGTTCCCCCAGACTGGTGTGGAGAAGAAAGGACATCTGCAGTTCTGCAGGCAAGTAAGGAACAGAAGGAAGCAGCCTTGGTCCTGGAAAGAGGCACTGCCATGGCCAAGGCATCATTAGGAGAGCTCCCTGGCTGAGCAGCCAGGACCTGGAAGGGAAGGAGAGGAGATTTTGTGGTTGCCATGGCAGTGGCAGCATGGGGCCGTGGCAAGAGAACAAGATATATTCACAGCAAGCTTATTTTTGTAAGCTTTGTAAAAAAAAATCTGTGAAAATAGCTAAAATAAATTTACAGTGAATATTTCTGACGTCTCAGGACTTTGTAGGCAAAGGAACGGTTGAGTGCACATTAGATGATGTGCAATTTTGCTCGGAGCTGTGCAGCTTTGCAGAAGCCAGTGAGTTTATGTGGTTGCATCCAAAAGGATCTCACAGATCACACAGCTGTGGCACTTCTTGCCTTTGTAGGGCTGGAGATACTACTAGAGATACTGCTTACTACTACAGATGGCTGTTGCTACCATACAGTTTCTTCAAGCCACCTTCTTGTACAGCATCCATAGGACTCACAGCTCTGAACCATAGAGCAAATTAGGGTTATTAGGAATAAGCAGCACATTTCCATGTCTTCACGGTGAGGATACACCTGAGAGCTGTCCTCTCAACAGGCAACATGAACAGGAGCTGCACAGTGGGGAGATGGGGAGGAGAGCACCCAGCCCTGGCCACTTTTGCTTAATAATCTGCACATCTCTGGGGTGCCCCTGCACTAACAACCTCCTGTATTGTGATGTGTGGGATGACATGGAGAACATCAAGGTGCCTTCAGCCTTTGCCAATACATAAAATCTTCTCTCCATTCCTTAAAATTGTCCTTTAACCTTAATTAAAATCCTCTTAGCTCACAAGCTTGTTGTTCAAAAGCTGAGATACCCTCTCTGGATTTCCCCCTGCTTTAGTTCACACCACATCTAAAGGTAGGGTGATCCTTTCATGAACAGAAACATTTCTTTTGCTCGTACTGCCAGCATGGTTAAGGCCTTATCAAATCTCTTCCCTACTGTAATATTTCTTTTCAAGGTAGCTTACTAAATCCTTACCTGTTTTTCACTTTGACCTGCAAATAGCAAAATATCATCAACTGGAAAAGATAATAACTCATTTGTGAAAGTGTTATTCTTTTTTATTATTCTATGGTATGGGCAATACAAATGCCACTCCAAGTCAGGTTGTATTAAGTAGTTTCATGTCACATGACACAGTGTGAATTGACACACGCTGTGCTGTTGTATGAGATCTAGGGTTGCTTGTTTGAAGAGATTTTTTTCTTTTCTATTTAGGACAAGATATTAGGTACTATAGATATTATATGATCCATCCATTAGCTAAAAAATACATCCAGATTCTGAGACTCAGACCAAAAGAAAACCTAAGAATAATGGCTTACATATCTATAGATAGCCAGCTTATCCCTTACAATAAATTACATATCTAAATAAATATAATTACTACAGAATAAAAATTAAATCTCTACGCTGCTTCCAAAATTCAACCTGTATCAGGAACATAGTAACTTCTGCTGCATATCAGTAATTGGTAGCGTGCTCTGAAAAGCCTCCTATGAGTTTCTGCATTGTTTCATTTCTCAATAATTTATGGAAAAGTGAAGGATTGACAAACAACAGTTCTCACTCTGCCAGTTCCCACCCCAGACCAGTGTTACTGGATGGCCAGCACCACCAGTCTGTTCCTCACCCAAATTTTGGAAAAGGTTGGGATGGAAGGTCTTAGATGATCGAGTGGTTAATTTCCTATTTAAATCACACCTAGGAGCATTTACAAGAAATATCTGAAATAAGAATACCTCTGTTGATGTTACAAGTTGACTCAGTTCCCTTGTCAGTCAAGTAATTAAAATCCTAATAAAAGCTCATTAAGCCCATGCATACAAACCTTGACAACATTTGGTTGGTTGGTTGGTTTAGATTTTCCATGCTTTGCTTTCCATGAGTCTGGAAAGCCCCAATGTAGCTCTTTTGCAAAGGAATGGAAACCAAAGAGAAACAAAGGCTCTGTACTGGTCAAAGTCAGATTATTCTGGTTTGTAAATCAGCATCCTCTCCCCATTTTTGGAACTTAATGGCAGCCTAGATTGCTCAACCACGCCAGAATGGGCTGATTACCATCAGCAGCACCTGCTTCAGATGCTGTGAGCCTTCCATGAGGTTTCCTCTCAAAGGGGCCCTCTCTTTCACTTCCATCATGCTCCCCACCATGTCAGTAAGCCATATTTCTCTACCTTCACTGACCTCCAAGCACACAGTCTCAGATATGGATTTATTATTGTCTTTAATTCCATCCTCAGGCTCTTTCCTACATTCTGCCTCAGATCGACCCTTTGCTCTCCCTAATATTTTGAAAGAAATGACTGCCTTCATCTGCTTTTCATGGACAGTTCAACAAAGAGAAAACACAAAGCTCAAAGTAAAATCCAGCCGAAACCTCTCCCTTTTAGCTAGTATTGCATCAAAGTCATGGATTTTAATATCAAATTCCACAACAAACCCACTTGCTCACTATCAATATTCAGTGACTCCCCAGTGCTTACAATTTGTTATGAACCCCCAAAGCAAAAGAGTTTCACAAAGCTTTATGATTTGATCATGAAAGTTTTGAAGCACTCTGAGGTTTGAAACCCTTCAGCTGAAAATGAAACTTTATATATATATATTTAACCAGCCCTATGCGAAGGGCCTGTACTGCAGGAAGTGAGGACAGAAAAGCATCAAGAACCTCCAGAAGGTCTTGATCCAAAGGACGGAGCTCTGCTAGCACAGAAGTGGGGCAAAGAGCTGCAGGTTCTCCCCATCTCCCATTCTGGAAGGAGAGACACTTGCTGGGGACACAGAGCAGAAATCACTGGGGTGTGAAGGTGTATCTCTGTAGGGTAACACAGGCGCTAAACCCCGATTCAATCCCAACCCCACCAAAATCAGTAGCAACACTCGTGATTTCAGTGGCACATACAGGTCCCAAAGCTATGTGTACATCCTGATCACACCAAAACTTCCATGAAACCCAGCTGGAGCATTAGACCCATTACAAAATAAACTGCAGCACTATTCCAGCCCTCTCCACTGCGTCCCACTTGTTGGATTGTCACAAAGGAGAGCCCTGGGTTGACACGACATGGCAGGCCAAACTAACAACTTCATGTCAAACCCACAGCCTCCAAAGCTCAGATTTGGAAAATCTGGCCTTGCCAAAAAAAAAAGAAAGAAAAAAAGAAAAATCAACACTTTTTGAGAGTTGTTTAGTGTGAGTTCCTGCACCCATGTGTGCAAAACAATGCAACCCCCTACGTTTTGTCAGCAGCACCAGAATCACACATACGCTTAACAATGACTGTGGTTGGGGTGTTGCATTTGCAAGCAAAACACACTCTTACTTTCTCAATATTGGCTCCTTTATCGCGGGCTCTTACAGCTGACAACACAGCAGAGAACTTCATAAAGAAAGTCTCATGATAGCTGTTATTTATTATGCAAATACTGTCTGCCATGG